CTGACTTCTATTCTGGGCCATATCTCTCAGCGTCTCTAACCAACGACAATCCTCATCCCTTGGGCCCTAGCTTTGGAGGCGGGCTGCACCAACCAAAACCAAAGCTGAAACCACCTTCTTCATGCCTCTAACCCATGTCATGGTCTGACCGCCGCGCCTCTTCTTTCAGACATGCCCGACACGTGCAAAGAGAGCACGGAAACGTAGTCGATGGGCAGGCATATGCAATAAATGACCAAGCCATCCCTTTACCCCTACTTCCGACCCGTACCACTCTTTCGGACAAATTGTGGGTCACTCGACAGATTTTGTTGCCAAGTAGCACTGTCAGTAGTTTGTCACAAAATCAATGGCAGATTCTGAAGCTTCGTCATTCACTGAATCTGGAGGCCTTCAGTGTGAAGACGCTGATGCAGGTAGGTCAACAAGCGTGTCTGGCGCGCACAATGGACTCTTTTGGGATTGGTGTATGCCGCGTAACGTAGACGAGAATTTAGGATTCTATTACTATATATAAACATATACACAGGTCTAATCGAAACTGAAGCAACAGGTCCCCGTGAAACACTTGTCGGTTCGTATGGGCAACAGCATTTATACTGAAGTAACTGTTTTTCAAAACTAATAATAAACAAATCTTGGAGAGTCTTTATATCCGTGATTTTCCTGAATCGTTTATGCTCGGCAGATGGAATGGTTCAAAATGTAGCGGATACTCCCATTTCGTCATTAGCGGTTGACCTAGACCATGATGAGTTAAGAGCTAACTGAAGAGAATGGAACAGTTTTTATTAACAACAAATTAATATTGTTAATAAGCAAGATGTAAAGTTTGTGTACACTAGTAGTCGATTGGTCTGTCTTTGTTCTTTAGAACTTTTTTGAGTCTCTTCGGTGTCAAACCCACCAACTTTGTTATGAAGTCATTTTCTATGTTGTGCTCCATTGCGTATCGTACTTTTGCCTCCACGGTCCAATGCATAGGTAACACATTGACCTATCTCTTCAAAACAGAAAACAGATTTTCAATCACGTTGAGATCCGGGCTGGTAGGAGGAAGTTGCATGAACTGGACCTTAGAGTCACGCATCTTTTCTGAAGTCTGAAGACAAATAATAAGTGAACCAGACTACTTAACTAGATAAATTTACTAATCTCTCGTGAAAGATGAAACGGAGCTTTATTCTGAAAAACGATAACTTTTCCAGACGATTCTTTTTCATGAAAGTCTAGAAAAAT